GTGCCCACTCCACGATAGCTCCCCCACGTTCTCCCTGGACTGTTCCACTGGCTTCCGGGCAGGGGCAGATTAACCAGGAAGCACGGTATGTACCAGCTTGCTTTGAGCAAGGTCCCCACTGCCTTAAGTGGATGTTTACTTGCTAATCTGAGCAATTTCACATGAGTTTCACCACATCTTTGATGTGATGGGAGACAGGTGAAATTGCGCACTGCAGATTGGTGGGAAGGCACAATTGGGCCCATGAGTACCTTGCTTATTGGGTAATCTGTCCCTGCTTCCAGCTATAGTCCCCACAAAAGTTTCTCCAGGGCTGATTAAGATAACCTGCACACTCTCCTGGTTCAGTCCTTCAACCCTCTGGATCTTAATTCCCCAAGTAGGAGAAGGGGCAGTGTAGGGGCCAGCTAGAGCAGCTGTTAGGGAGCTACCATCTATCTACATTAGATGAGCTGTGACCCAGCCCGAGTGCAGGGGAAGGGACAAAATGACCTCCTGAGGAGCCTCCCAGCCCCGAACCTGGCATTGGCTGGCAGGATAAAGGATAGCAGGTGGAGAGGGAAGAGCCTACAGCTGGGGCTGGGCTGAGAGCCTGGCCTCAGTCTTCCCCCTTGGGACCCCTGGCGGGCCAGTTCCCTAATTAGGACTCGGGTGGAGTCAATTACCGAGAGCCACAGCAGAGGGGAAATCAATCTACTTGGAGATGAGCCTCCTCCAAGACCTACTGGGATTTGAACGTGTTCAAGGTGATGGTAGGGAAATGTTGCTCCAAGCTGAGGCCCAGGCCTATTTAAAGGTTTAAAATTGTAAAAGGTCTGGCGTCGGGATTGGGGGAAGGAGGGCTAAATAATTCAGAAAGCAAATAGAGAAGCAGCTGTTGCTGATGCAGACGGCCTTTCATGCCTGGCTGGACTACTCGGAGCAGCATCCTGGGCTTCAGGGGAAAACGTACATGTGGTTACCCGGGGGCGGCAAAGGAGGGAGTGATCACAAAGTCAGCCTTTTAGGACCGCTTGGACAGCTCTGTTTTTCAAAGCACTTTCATTAGCCTCTTCTCTCATCTTCCTCCATCTTCCCCTCCGCCCTGGGAGGTAAGCCAGCAAGACAGGTAAAGAGGCTCAGGGAGGTTAAATGATCTGTTCACATGCCTGGTAAGTGAGGGCTGGAACTCCGAACATGCCCTCCCCACCTCCACAGCCCACACAGGAATCCCTCAGCTCTGCACGGCCTGTTTCACTTTCTCACTGTTTTCTCTCTTCCACCTTCTGCTCTTGGTGACAAATCCCTTAGGTACATCAGGGATAACTGAGCCGGAGCAGCCGAGAGACCTGGTTCTGGGTGTGGCGTTGGCACAGCTAAGCTGTGTGATCTTGGGCAAGTCCCATCCCCTTTCTGGGCCTCCATAACATTACATCCCTCCTCCTCTGTGGGCACTGGTATCTGCAGTCCCTTCTAGCTCTAATATTCTTTGGATGTAAGCCCATTTAGTTGATAAGAAAGTCAAGGCTCTACTTGTGGGTAGCATGAATGGGAGAAAGGCTTCTTCCAGATGGCTCACCAGCGTCTGCCTCCTGCTTCTCTCCTTCACTCAGCTCAGCCCAGGAGCATGACAGGGATGCACTCCCTGCCCTCTTTGCACCCCCCAGAGACTCATTTTCAGAAGAATTCAGTTTTCTGTCTCCTCCTCTTGTCTGGACCCAGAAGCAGGAATCTACTGCTTCAAGAAGCCAGGACCAACCTAATTATTACATGCACTTGTGTTAATAAGTGCCTTTCAATCCATGCAGGGAGCAAACACACTTGGAATAAAAAAGGAGGAAAGGCCATTATCTTGAAATGTCTGGGCTCGTACCTGGCCTGAGCCCTGTGAAGTCATGATGGGTAATTATGGGCTGTCACCTTGGCGCAGCACACAGACCCAATCAGTTACAGGCCATGGCTCCTCCTACTGCGGTCCCTTCAAGGCAGAGAAGTTAAGGTTGTCAAAAAGGGCAACTTTCTGTTTTTAGTTCCCTTCCATCCCACTTCTTTTGAGCATCCCGCTCCATGCCATCCTTCTGGTTTCATTCCAATAGACTTGTTATCTCAGTTTTCCTTTTGTTTAAGGAGAAATGTAATTTCACTCTAAGATTCTGTAACTGAGCAGAATAGAAGCCTTACTTGAAGAGCTTTCCTCATTCTCCACCAGACTCAGTCTGAACTGATGGTTGCTTGGACTAGGATGGAAGCAGTGAAAATGGTGGGAAGTTGTCAGGTTTGATTTGCTGATGGATTGGATGGGGTTGAGGAGGGTTGTGAGGGAGAAAGAAGACTCTAGGATGACCCATAGATTTTGGCTTGAACGATTGTATAGGTGTTGGTAGTATTTATGGAGATGAAAAAGACAAAAAAGGATGCATGCTTGAAAGAGGAGAAGTAAAAAAATGTGTTTTAGCCATGTTATATTGGAGATGCCTGTTAATATGCCCAAATGTCTAACAGTTCAAATGTGGCATATAGGGAAAAGGTCAATACTAGAGATATAGATTTGAGAGTCATCAGAGTATACAGCACATAAATACATGGAATGTATGGCACATAGAAATATTTTAGGGAGACTGTATAGATGGAGAAGTGATGGATATGCAGGACTGGGCCCTGGGTCACCTGGTCATTCAACATTTAGAAGTTGAACAGAGGAGGAGCAATCGCAAAATGGAATGAATTACCTCTGCCTGTTTGTAGAAGCAAGGACAGAGCGGTGCTGACAGGGACAGGAAGCAAAGAAGAAAAGTATACCCCTTCTTCCTCCTCCAGCTTTCCCACCTTCTGGCGCCCCCTATTGGCAGAACTGAATAGGGCATTAACTAAAAAAAAAAACAAAAGAACAAAAAAACCCATTGCTGTCTAGTCGATTCTGACTCTTAGAGATGCAGAAATGTGATTTTCAAAGTTGTTGCCCCAGCATCCCAAAGCATAGTATAGCAGGGTGGGTTTGAAGCTGAGAGACAATAGTTGAATAACTAGCACACACATTAAGGTGTTTGCTTACTGCCTAAGGCCAGACTGAGTGGCCTGGTTTTCTCCCACACTTGGCTCTCAGCATCTGGGAGCTGAGAGGTGGTTGAGTAAAGCAAAGATTAGGGGAAGCCAGCATCAGCTGAGAGAGCTGCCGTCTTGGGAAGAGCAGATCAGTCTATTAGCTCTGAGATCAGAATGGAACTGCTGGGAACTGGCAGGGAAAGAAATGCGCAGTGAAAACGCTTGAGTGACTTAGGCTGATGGTCGAATGAGAGGAGAGGCAAGAGTTGGGGGGGGGGAGGTGCTGGTCAGCATTCCCTATGAATAGGGATGAGAAGACATTTAGGCTTTCAGCTAGGATTCAGAGAGTAGAGCTCAGAGAACCAATTCTAACTCTGCAGCTTCCTCTCCCCTCATCCATCTGTGGTCAGGGTTGGGGAGGAGACAGGAAGGCCTGAGTGGAACTAAATAACTCTGTCTTTCCTTTCAGAATCCTTTGGATTAGGTTCTCAATGGACTCCACCTGGAGCTGGGCAGGGTGGGAAATTTCAGAGATCCGGGAAATAGAAGAGGATGTGGGGATATGGGTGATGGAGGAGCCTAGGTAATTTAGTTTAGTATCTAGATACTCCCCATACCAACAATTCTTTACCTCTAACTCAATGTCCTGAAAATTAACAAAATGGGGGAGAAGAAAATGGGATGCTTTCCTGCCCCACTGGGCCCAGACTCACTCACTCCTGTTAGCTCACTCTTCAGACTCTTCCCATGCTCACTACATGCCAGTCAGGACCACAGCGCCTCAGACATGATTTGTAGACATGTCACCATCTCTATATGGACAGGATAGCTGAGCTTAGCCTTCCCAAGCCTCCAGCTACCCAGTTTCCTGTGCAGGACCTAAGGCTGAGTAATTTGTGTCCTACTCCCAATCTATATGGTTATATAGATTCTTTCACTCTCCCATGTCCCCTTATACTGACTCAAGGGACTAGAAGCATTTTAAATGCTCACGATCAAGAACATCCTAAAATGGCCCGATCTGGCTTCCTATGATCAGATGAGCCCTGAGGCCCTCAGTGTAGCCAGTGTCAAGCAAGCGAAAGGACCCAGGAGGCCTGAACCTCAAGCAAGGGCTCTGGAGAGTTCCCCCATCACATATTCCTGCACCACATAGATCCGTACCTTCTGCACAGGGTCAGCTCGGCCACTTGGTGCCATTTCCTGGAACTCTCAACCATCACTTCACATCAGACGTGTGCAAAAAAAGATGATGGACTCTAAACTCAACCACTGATTTGGACTAAAGTCCTGGTGACTATTTAAACTGAAACACATTAATAGCTTTAAATATTTCATGCCAGGTACATTAGAGCAACCAGCATTATTTATTGAAGGCTGCTCACCCATCATGGGTATTAATATAGTTTGCTGCACAGTCTACCAAAGGGAAATTAGCTTCAAGGGACTAGGTGGGAGGCTTTTGGTCTCCTAGGTGCTTTTGCTCCAGGAAATGAATCTTGAATGGATGGAAGGTGTGGCACAATCTTGTTATCCAACCTCACTCTGGCTTCTTAAAAAACTTCTGAAAGGCTCATCAGGAAAGTCTTTCAACCACCATCCAGTTTGTGTGTGGGCATTCCACTGTAATCTCTTAGGCATAAACAGATGCAGCTTTCTCCAGCAGATATTAATTTCACAGTATCTAAAATGGAGCCCAATATCTACGTAGGGCTGCTAATTTTCTACAGAGGATGGTAAAGAAGTTGTTAGCTACCGTAGAGTCAGTTTCTGACTCATGGTGACCCCACGCACAACGGAACGAATGAAAACAAGCCGCTGCCATCCCCATAATCAGTTGCAGATCAGAAAATCGTGATCCATAGGATTTTTATTGACTGATTTTCAGAAGTAGATTTCTAGTCTGTCTTAGTCTGGAAGCACTGCTGAAACCTGTTCAGCTTCATAGCAACATGCAAACCATACTGACAGACATAAGGTACATTGGCTGGGAATTGAACCCGGGCCTCCTGCGTGGGAAGCAGGAATTCTACCACTGAACCACCAGCGTCCCCCTCCCAGTAAAGGAGTTAAATGGGTTTACTTGATTAAGGAAGGATCTGGGTTGCCTTGAGAAAGAGAGGCCCTGGGGGCACAGTGGTTAAGCGCTTGGCTGCTAACTGAAAGGTCGGAGGTTTGAACCCAAGGAGAAAGATGTGGCAGTCTGCTTCTGTAAAGATTACAGCCTAGGAAACCCTATGGGGCAGTTCCACCCTGTCCTCCAGGGTGTCTGTGAGTTGGAATAGACTGGATGGTGCCGGATTTGGTTTTGGTTATTCTCTCCTGCTGGCATAATGTATTCATCATGTTAAGTTTCTGACATTGCCCTCTTTGGTCTGTGCTCCCTAATTCATTTGTCAGGTTCTGTGCAGGAAACAAACCACTGTAGGTATTTTAAGCTGGAAAAAATTTAATACAGACAATTAGGTGCTTACAAAATTGTTGGAAGGGCTGGAGGAGTGGGCCGCAGGCTAAGCCTCTAGGGGTAACTCATGGAACTTCACAGAATTGACCCATTAGACCTGTGAGTCTACCCTTATCTTTTCCTTATTTTATGGTCATGATGATGTTAATTTACTGTTGATAAGGAAATTAAGAAAATATATTTTGATACTGAAACAGTGTAAAACCTTTTAGTTATATCTTTTTATTTTTGTCGTGACTATCTGACTTTTCAAGCCTATTGGAGGGTAGACAATAAAAATTTTGCTGGGGACCTTTCATGGGCTCCTTTACTCATGGAACAATTTCACTTGTACACTGCATCCTGCCAGGTTACCCGGCCCTGCTCTGATCCTTTGACTGTGCTTCTCCCCTCGGCATTCAGCCCCTCCACCAGGTCCTGCCGGTTGACATCATCCAGTTCTCACCGTTGGCCTTGCCTTGTCTCGTCACTGATTTTATTCTTTTGTTGTATGCCATCAAGTCGATTCCCACTCATAGAGACCTTATAGGACAGAGTAGAACTGCCCCAATAGGGTTTCCTAGGCTGCAATCTTTTTTTTTCACTTTTCATAAGATTTATTTAGAATTTCTTAATCATAATTTTATTTTTGAATCACCTGTCTTTCTTTTTTTATTTCATTATTTTTTTATTGTACTTTTTTAAAAAATTGTACTTTAGGTGAACGTTTACAGAGCAAACTAGCTTCTCATTAAACACATATTGTTAATGCAATATTGTTAGTATACATATTGTTTTATGACATTGGTTAACAACCCCATGACATGTCAACACTCTCACTTCTCAAACTTGGGTTCCCTATTACCAGCTTTTCTGTCCCCTCCTGCCTTCTAGTCCTTGCCCCTGGGCTGGTGTCCCCTTTAGTCTCATTTTGTTTTATGGGCCTATCTAATCTTTGGCTGAAGGGTGAACCTCAGGAGTGACTTCAGTACTGAGCTGAAAGGGTGTCCGGTGGCCATACTCTCAGGGTTTCTCCAGTCTCTGTCAGACCAGTAAGTCTGGTCTTTTTTTGTGAGTTAGCATTTTGTTCTACATTTTTCTCCAGCTCTGTCCGGCACCCTCTGTTGTGATCCCTGTCAGAGCAGTCAGTAGTGGTAAGCCAGGCACCATCTAGTTGTGTTGGACTCAGTCTGGTGGAGGCTGTGGTAGTTGTGGTCCATTAGTCCTTTGGACTAATCTTTCCCTTGAGTCTTTAGTTTTCTTCATTCTCCCTTGCTCCCGAAGGGGTGAGACCAGTGGAGTATCTTAGATGGCCCTTCACAGTCTTTTAAGACCCCAGACGCTACTCACCAAAGTAGAATGTAGAACATTTTCTTTATAAACTATGTTATGCCAGTTAAGCTAGATGTTCCCTGAGACTATGGTCCCCACCCTAGGCTGTAATCTTTATGGGAGCAGATCGCCAGCTCTTTTCTCCCTCCAAGTGGCTGGTGGGTTCTAACTGCCGACCTTTCGGTTAGCAGCCAACGGCTTAAATTGAGGCACCAGTGTTTCTTATTCTTCTCTAGTGCGTGTCTAACACCTTGCCTCCCCTATTGGAATATAAAGTTTTGGAGGACAGGGCTCTTTATCTTCCCTTTTACTGGATAGAACAAATTATGTTTACCAAACATTCATTAATGAACAGGCAAATCCAAAAACCAAACCGAACCAGTTACCGTGGAGTCAATTCAATGAATAGGCTATGACGGTAGGAAATAAGGGCACTTTTATGTAGTATCAAATGGGTGAAACACCAAATGCAGAGACAAAGGACAAAGTGGTTCATTACTCTCGGTACATATTGCCATGTTGGTTTTCAAAAGGGTTGCATCCACTTCTGCTGCTACAGCCCTGTATGAATGTGCCTATTTTATCAGAACTTCACCAGAATTAGGTGTTATCATTAACATTGTTTTCTAAATATGTTTTTCATTTGTTGTTGTTATTGTTAAATGCCTTCGAGTCAATCCTGACTCATGGTGACCCCCATGTGTACAGAGTAGAACTGCTCCATAGGGTTTTCAAGACTGTGACCTTTCAGAAGCAGATTGCTAGGCCTGTCTTCTGAGGCACCTCTGGGTGGGTTCCAACTGCCGATCCTTCAGCAGGTAGTCATTCGTGCCACCCAGGGATGCCTATGTTTTTCATTAAAAGGTGCAAAATGCTGCTTAATTTTTATTTTAAAAGTTTTTTCTCAAAGATTAATATTTTCCCTAATCACTTCTACTAGTTTACCGTTTTGATTTTCTCTTTCTGAGTTGTCTTTTCTTATTCTTTGCCCATTAATGCTATTTGTTTTTAAAAATAACTTTGGATTGGTATTCATGTAGTATAGATTTTCACTCTTTGAAACCTTTAATTTTACAAGTATTATTTTATATGTATTTTCCCCAAGCAGATTGCAAGCTCCTTTCTTTATACATATTTCCCTAATTCAGGACTCTACACCTGTCAGTTATGTAAATATGCCATATATTATGTAATTATAATAATATTAATAGCTACCTTTTTTTAAATTCCTAATCTGAGCCAGACTCTTTAAATTTATTGTAGTACCTAATCTTCACAATCCCCATGCAAAAGAGGAAACTAAGCCTCTGAAAGGTTAAGCAAGGGGTTCCAAATCAAACCCTCCCCAACCCAGCCCAACCCTTTGCCATCCAGTCAATTCTAACTCATAGCTTCGATTCATAGTGACCCTATAGGACAGAGTAGAGCTGCCCCATAGAGTTTCCAAGGCTGTAAATCTTCATGGTCTTTTTCCCGCAGAGCTGCTGGTGGATTTGAATCACCAACCTTTTGGTTAGCAGCCCCCCGCCTAACCACTGCACCACTATGGCTCCTTAGCAAGAGGTCACATGGACACTATATCTGAACGCAAGTCTTTATTTTTTTTATTGAACTTTAGATGAAGGTTTACAGAACAAGGAAACCCTGGTGATATAGTGGTTAAGAGCTACGACTGCTAACCAAAAGGTCAGCAGTTCAAATCCACCAGGTGCTCCTTGGAAACGCTATGAGACAGTTCTACTCTGTCTGTAGAGTTGCTGTAGGGTCCCTATGAGTTAGAATCGACAGCAATGGGGTTTTGTTTTACAGACCAAACTAGCTTCTTATTAAACAGTACATATATATTGTTTTATGACATTGGTTAACAACCCCATGACATGTCAGCACTCTAGCTTCTTGAACTTGGGTTCCCTATTACCAGCTTTCCTGTCCCCTCCTGCCTTCTAGTCCTTGCCCCTGGACTGGTGTGCCCCTTTAGCCTCATTTTGTCCTATGGGTCTGTCTAATCTTTGGCTAAAAGGTGAACCTCCAGAGTGACTTCATTAATGGGCTAAAAGGGTGTCCAAGGGCCATACTTTCTGGGTTTCTCCAGTCTCTGTCAGGCCAGTAAGTCTGGTCTTTTTTTTTTTTTTTTTGAATTAGAATTTTGTTCTACATTTTTCTCCAGCTCCGTCTGGGACTCTCTATTGTGATCCCTGTCAGAGCAGTTGGTGGTGGTAGCCAGGCACCATCTAGTTGTGCTGGACTCAGTCTGGTGGAGGCCATAGTAGTTGTGGTCTATTAGTCCTTTGGACTAATCTTTCCCTTGTGTCTTTAGTTTTCTTCATTTTCCCTTGCTCTGGAAGGAGTGAGACCAGTGGAGTATCTTAGATGGCCACTCACAAGCTTTTAAGACACAAGACGCTACTCACCAAAGTAGAATGTAGAACATTTTCTTTATAAACTATGTTATGCCAATTGAGCTAGATGTTCCCTGAGACCATGGGCCCCACAGCCCTCAGCCCAGTAATTTGGTCCCTAAGGGAGTTTGGATTTGTCCATGGAGCTTCCATGACCTTACCCTGAACAAGCTGTGCCGGCTTCCCCAGTATTGCGTACTGTATTACCCTTCACCAAAGTTACCACTTGTCTATTGTCTATTTAGTGTTTTTCACTCCTCACCCCTCCCCTCCCTCATAGCCATCAAAGATTGTTTCTTTTTGTGTGTAAATCTTTTCATGAGTTTTTATACTAGTAGTCTCATACAATATTTGTCCTTTTGTGATTGACTTATTTCACTCAGCATAATGCCCTCCAGATTCATCCATGTTGTGAGATACTTCTCAGATTCATCATTGTTCTTTATCGTTGCGTAGTATTGGTCCATTGTGTGTTCGTGCCATAGTTTGTTTCTCCATTCATCTGTTGATGGGCATCTAGGTTGTTTCCATCTTTTTACGATTGTGAACAATGCTGCAGTGAACATGGGTATGCGTATGTCTATTCATGTGACAGCTCTTATTTCTCTAGGATATATTCCTAGAAGTGGGATTGCTGGATCATATGGTGTTTCTGTTTCTAGCTTTCTAAGGAAATGCCATATGATTTTCCAAACTGGTTGTACCATTTTGCATTCCCACCAGCAATGCATAAGAGTTCCAATCTCCCCGCAGCCTCTCCAACATTTGTTATTTTCTGTTTTTTTGATTCATGCCGGTAATGCCAGGGTGAGATGGTGTCTCATTGTGGTTTTGATTTGCAGTTCTCTAATGGCTAGTGATCATGAGCATTTCCTT